GGATGCATATTGATATCCAGAGAACACAAGAGTGTTCATGAAGCCTGGAAACAGATACTACTGTTTTATTTTTTGTTAGAAATTGAAGATGTCCTTGATGACATTGTATGTATTCACCTGTTTGCAGACTTTAAAATGTCTTTGGTTTGCTTAAGGAGAGGATGTCAGAGCTACTTGTGGTATGTACCAACCCCACTGAGGGTAACTGAGTGAGTCTTTGATGAACTCTAAAGTTGAACTCAATTATTACAAACTCTGCAAAATATTATTTTGAAAAAAATGGCATGCCAGAAAATGTAGACATTTGTTTTTATTAGGAAGCCCACACTTCCAAAATAAGGGTTGTCAACACTTTTTGAGTTCCAGCAGCTCCTCTTGATTTAGTCACATGCATATTACACAGGGTTTGGAGGTAACCCTCCAAAATATTAGCTGAAAGCTTCCTCTGAAAGCAAATCTTTCCCACATCCTTCCCTGCAGTTCCTCTTTAAGAGGTGTCAGCCTGGCTGAAAGAATGAAGTGGCTGCACATTGTTTGGCCTTGCTATTATGTGCTTAACATTTCCATAACAAAAGTGCCACTCGACTTCTCCCCGATTAATGCAGCTCGAGGGCTCTTGTCGTCCTTTAATAAAACATTGTTGAAATCATTTATTTAGAGCCCCTGGTTACTAGTGGGAGAATGACCATCTTTGTGCCAAAATATAGTGTATACAGTCCACTATTTTGTAGTAGATCATTCTGTTATTTAAGAAATTGATTAAATGGATGCCTTAGAAGGTATTTATGCTAATCACACATTACTTATGTCATTGGATAGTCAAGGGTGAACCTTTTCAACTGTCTTCCAAGGCAGTCTCTCAAACAGAATACAGTAATGTCCAACTTAACTCACAGGCAGTGAAACCCACTGGAAACTCAGCCCTCCTATAAGTATTCTGGCCACAGAGCATTTGTAACATGATGCTCCCCAACAACCTTGCTTGGAGTAGCTGGGAGAAACCGGGTCAATTGACAAGGGTTTCTGATGTTCCTTGGTGTAAGAGGTCAAAAAACAAAGGATATATGCTTTTCTTTTTCCAGCTTTGAAAAGAAATACATGAAGTTACAATAGAGAGCCTCCACAAGGAACTCAATAAGTTCATGATGTAAAGCCAAAGTTTGAAAGTAGAGAGATTTTCAGTGTGATGTTTGATGTCTGAAAGTTTGGCTGACATTTTTTTCATCTCTTTTTATTTGTTACTACCTAACACTGCTGGGAAGGGGTGAAGGTGATAAAGGACAAAGAAAGGAAATCTCAATCCCATGGGGTTTCTCTGGACTCTGGCACACAGAGGTGTGGCCTTCTGTCTTCACTCATGCCAACCATACTGGAGATCTTACTCCAGATGTGAACATTTAAGAGCCCAGTGGCCCCTTAAATTTGTGACAGTTGGGGCCAGGAGTTGCTTTCTTCCCTGTGAACATTTGTTGGGGCCCTGCCCAAATAAAGAGATGTCCTGCTACTTAGTAGGAAAGCTTTTTCTCTACAGCCACTTTTTTTCCACTTCATGTATGTGTATTGCTAGCATACCTTGCTATATATTGTTAAGGATAAACAGAGACCTTATGCTATGTCCATTGTGATTATATACAAAAGCGTTGCTGTGTGCTCGGGTGAGCAGTGAAGCCTAAACCTCCTTCTATTTACTGTATGGTCACTGTCAGTTCAATGAACTGCCCCCTTGTTCTCTACCATTGTCCCACACTCCCTTAAACATTTGTCACTGAAGTGGCTCCAAAGACAAATAAACTGTCACTGAGAATTCAAACCTGCTAACTGGGGAAATGGGAAAGGCTATGAGGACACAAGAGTTTACATGAAATCCAAAAGGAGTTCCTCTTACTCTGTAAGACTTCTGTGGAAAATGGATGGCAGGGTACCGGGCTGGAGGGACACTTTTTGAGAATTCTCAAGAAAAGCCAAAGATACCTTCTCTTTCATTAATGGTACTTCCAAGGCATTCTCCATAAGGCATTTGAGAGCACCAAATGTCCAGAATTCCAAAGGGCTCCCTGGAGAGGGTGAGATATCCAGATGTCAACATCTGTAAAAACCCTTTCTGTCTAGAAGCAGATGGCAACGTACAGTCCCACAACTAACAGTCCAAGGGACCTAACATCTCAACAGCCTGTTCTGGAAGCTACTAGATCTATAGGGAAGGCAGGGGGTTCCTGGACTCCAGTGTATAATTGTTTAAATTAAAATGGACCACAGATCAGTATTCACTTTCTTCAAGAAAGAAAGCAAAAAGCCTCTCTCCCTAAGCCTCTCTCCCAAAAAGTCCTCTCTCCCTAAGAGTGAGCTGTGTTGATTTATTCCAGGCAGATGCTTTTGACAGGACCCTGTAAAATCAAGTCGTGAGTTTATTGTAGCAGTTAATTATCAGGCCTTTTCTAGTGCTAATGTCTTTTACTTCTTACTGGGGAAAACTGGGCCTTTTACTGGGACAAAGACTTAACTTTTAGTCAAGAATGTGTTAAAATAACACGAGATGGAGATGATTTAAATATATTTAAGGACAAATGCAGTAGCATTGCAGAGCATTGCTAACCCCCCCCCCCTGTTTTGTAAAGAGAGCTGATTTCATTTACAAGTCTCTTGGAATACTCTTTGTTCACTTCCCAAAGAAACAACACTCTCAGCTTTGTTTTAACAATATGTTTACTCAACCATTCAGGTGACTGGAGATTCCAACCACACACGGCTTTCCTAGGCTCAAGTCTGATACTACAACTATCTCAGACTTTCTGATGCTATTCATATTGGAATCTTGGGTTTAGGTGCACCAAGAAGTGTCTGGAATCCTTCCATAAATGTTGGGAAAAGAGGGAGTTAGAGGCAAAGGAAACTTCCAAAGTTGGGGGTGGGAACTGGTAGAAGGAAGTTGGAAGGGGCATAGCTTTGTTAATTACTTTAGGCAGCAGAGAAATCTGGTTATGTTTTCTCAGTACATGTTAATATCAAATAAAGAGACACCAGATCTTGCTAATCTGTCGACCCCTCAGACAAAGTTTATTTGTGGTGACTTTTAAACTCCTGACTTGCCTTCCAATCACCGCGTTTAAAATGAAAAGCTTTAAATAAACACCCGGAATAGAAGATAAATAAACTTTTTTTTCCCCCCTTGCAAGTGCCTAGCTTGGCGAGGTTCAAGCTCAAATCCCCAGAGGACAGAGCTCTCTCTTTTGTGTTAATGTTTAAAAGATTTTCCAATGCCGGAGTTTATTCCTACTGCAAACATTTCTATTTACAAGGTCAAGTGTATCAGCACTCGACACAGCTTAAGAGTGTAATTATTTATCTAAGGGCGTTTGAGTGTAGATCAGTAGCTCTGGCAGAAACCCAGCCTTCAGCCCACTGCTAAACAACCCCTCACAACAATATTACAAGTTCTGGTAATTATTCCTCTCCCCAGTGTGTTTACTTTTGTCCGCCTGAATGTTTTGTAACAAAATTTTGTACTTTTCTTTTTCTTTCTTTTTTCTTTTTTTTTTTAAACCAAAAGTGTGAAAATGACTTTGAAGTATTTGAGTCGTGTAGGCTTCTTAGGACCTATTGGTAACAGATGTTATTGGCATGTTTGATTGTATGAGAATGTCTAGTAGCCACAGAGACACTCCTGGGGGTTAGCCGCCTAAGGAAGGGGGGCACTGGAGGGAGAGAGGATCCCAGTGGAACACAGGGAGGGGGAAATGTGCTGCCTGGGTTATTTTCAAATTATACACTGGAGACAACGTTTTGTGACTTTTTCCACAAATGCAAAAACCAATGGAGGACAGCCACATATCTTTTTAACAGCCTCATTTACAGATGTCCAATTGTTCATTAAATTAAAGGCAGAAACAACAGCCTACATTTCTTGTCTTGGACTGTATTTTCAGTTGATGATGGATTCCCAGGGCCCCCTCTAAGCCCCTCCTCACCTATTATTGGGTTAACCACAGTGTAACTCTGAAAAGTAACTACAACATATTCTTTGTTTAAACTCTTTACTGATGCACACATTTTAATAAAACAAATAACAGAAAGTACACAAAGCCATAGTTATTAAAACATAGGACTTTAAAAAATGTCTATAAAAATACAATGTTTAAGGCAGATTGGAAATGTATTTATACATTTCTACAATGTCCATAAATTCTCTTGAAAATAAGAATGTTACTTCAAATCTATAAAATACACTGTACATTTTAAGACTGTTCTAAATATAGCATACTTCAAAATGGATTGTGGGTTTGGATCCGTGGTGACAAATGGATTCTATACATTTCTGGGGGGAAGATGTGACATGGATGAAGATTTAAAACTTTTAATTTCTTTTTAAAAATAAATTATTTCTGAAGCATACAATTTATAAAAATTCTATATACAAAATACAGCAACTGGTAACAACCCCAGTTTTAATACACTTTATATACGATGTACCAGGGTTTAATGCCCTGATAGGAGCAGAGGCAATATATAGTCTCTGCATACTGAACATACAATTAATTTCTTGATGAAAAGAACAAAAATGACAGAAAGCAAACACGTAAAGAAGCTTCATAGATGGCAGTGGAGAGCTTTTTAAAATAAAAAGTTGCATTCTTTAATACCAGAGACCAGCATTGTTTGGACCCTTAATCCTAAGAAATGTGCCAAGAGATCAGAGTGGTAGCAATGAGATTAAGGTCAAGGGCTCAAAGTTATCTAAAACTAATTTAGGGTTTTTCCCCTAAGGCGATCACCCACCTCCCAAACCCAATGTCACTGAGAAATCTAGGTGCTGATGCCAATAGTAAATGAACGAATTGGTAGGTGGGACTTTTCTATTATTTACTTACGATTGGATTGCTATGTCCACACTGGCCACAAGCAGTAACAGTCGATATTGGCACTGTTTTTCCCCCTCACGGGGAAAACACTAATAGCCCCTTTGCAAATATAATTCCTCCTTCAATCCCCGCCCTCCCGCCCGACACCGCCAGGTCCCTGGACCCCCAACCCCCATGGGTCAACACACTCTCTTCCAAATACAGGACTCCAATTTTCTCCCCCACGTCCGTTCCCTTCAGGGTATCCTGAACTCAACAGATTTCTGCAGGAAAGATCAGTTGGTTGTTTCTGGAGCCTAAATGGGGTGCGAGAGAGAAGGTCCAAGAAATCATACTCCGGAGAGGGGACGGGGAAATGCCAAAAGTCGTGGTGGAAGAATGACAAGGCTGAGTCGATTTGGAAAAAGTTTTGGGAAGTATTCTGGATCATCTTCTTTCGGTCCCTGGGCCACTGGTGCCCCGGAGCTGGGGCAAGCCGGAAAGCAAGCACCGGAGCGGGGCGTAGGTCCTCCAGCAGCCAGCGGCTGGGGCACGAGGCCTAAATGAACCGTCCAAACAGCAGCAGCAAGATGGAGGCGAACGGCGTCCAAGTTCCTCGGGGCGCCGAGCGGCCACCGCCGCTGCCGCTCCTGCGCCCGGGTCCGTACGGCAGGTCCCCGCGGCCGCCCGCAGCAGCAGCGCCGCCGCCCGGGCGCGGCGGGTGCGGGACTCCGTCGTCATCGTCCAGAGGTTGCTCGCCTCCAGCACCCCCGGGGCGCTGCTCATCGTCGTAGTCCTCGTCGTAGTAATCGTCCAGGCCCCCGTCCGAGCCGCTGCTGCCGGGGCCATTGCCCAGCTCCGCGCCGAAGCACAGGCGGGCCATGTTCTCCTTGACCGACTCACAAATGGGCCGCTCCAGGCCATCGCACACGCAGTCATTGAGCAATGCCGCCTTGGGGACGGCCAGCATATCCTCGATGACGGTGCGGCACTCGTCCGTGCAGCGCAGCCCGTTGAAGAGCTTACCGCAGTAGGTCAGATAGCGGTTGAGCGCCAGGTTACAGCGGCTGTCGCGGTCGCAGCGCCGCCGGGCCTCGGTGCAGCCCATGACCCCGCCCGCGCCCGGGCCGCCTGCGCCGCCGCTGCTCGTCCGGGGCAGGCACGGCTCAATGGCGCGCTTGGTGGACTTGCAGTTCTCGTCCTGCGCGCAATCACAGTCCTCCAGAGCGGGCCCGCGGCGCGTGTGGTTGAGCTGAATTAGGGCCGAGATGCAGTGGCTCGGGCAGCGCCAGCGGGAGGAGAAAGAGGCGGCCGAGGCCGGGAAGGCGGCTGCTGCGGCCCCCGGCGCGTCGCCCCCGCTGCGCTGCGCCAACACCGGCGCGCACGCCTCGGCGTATTGGTTGTAGGCGTAGCTGCACTCCGGCTCCCCCTGGCACTGCAGCAGCGCCTGCCAGCAGATGAGGCGGCGGCCGTGCGCCAGTCCTGAGCCCCGCGGCGCCGAGCACAGCAGCTGCAGTAGCGCCATCAGGCACAGCCAGGCGCCCGGCACGGTTCCCCCGCGGGCCCCGCCGCCGCCGCCCAGCAGCGCGGCCACCATCGCGGGCAGCGGCGGCCTCCGGGCGAGGAGGGGAAAGGAGACGAGGCGCGGGGAGCAGTGGACGCGGAGCCGGTGGAAAAGTTTGCCCAAGTCCTGCCCACTTCTTGCATGAGTGTCTTCATAAATCCATGCGCGCCGCTGGCTGATGCCCCGCTGGTGGCAGAGGTGGGCTCTTGCTCCGGGTGCGGTGGCTTCCTGGAAATGTTCAGCCGCCGAGATCTTGCCCCGCTTCTCCAACCAGATAGCCGTCCGCTCGGCCCCCAGAGGTGGCGGGAGTCCCTCACTGCCGCCCCGGGGGGCTGCGGGCCGCGGGCCTGCGGCGAGGTTGCAGGACCGCGCGGCACCGCGGGTGCATTTTGCTCCGCGCCTGCCTGCGCTGCGGCCGCTGCGGGTCCTTCCTCTCGGGCTCAGCACCGAGTCGCCGCTGGCTCTCGCATCGCGCCGCTTCCTGGCTCGGCGTCCGTGAGCTGCCCGCCTTCCCGCGGCCCGGCCGCCCTGCGTCCCCTCCCCCTCCGCCCGCGGCGACCCCGGCCTCAGCCGAGCTCCGGGAAGGGCCTTCTAGGAGGCGCGGAGAGAACAAGAAACTCGGCGCGGCCGGAGAGCGGCTCCCGGGTTTCCTTAGGCGGCGGCTTCTCTGGTGACCAGAAGCCCGGGGAGCGGATCCGCTGAGCCGGGCTGCGGACTCTTTAGCAGTGAGGCTTTAAATACAAAAGTGGGCCGGGAGCCCCCGCGTGGTGCCGCGGTGCCCCCTCATTATGCATGCATGGAAAAGCAAACAAACAAAAACATTAGCAACGCTCCTCCGGCTCGCGGAGCCCCGGCCCCGCGCGCTCCGAGCCTGCCCGCTTTCTCCTTTCTCCACTCTCTTTCGCCCTTTGCTCGGCCCCCTTTCCAGGCTTTTCGAGATGCTATTGGTCCTGCCTGTTGTTGTTGAAACTTTTTTTTTTTTTACGAGCCGCTGGAGTGGGGTTGCGGAGTGGGGGAGGGCGGGGAGGGTGGTGGGCAGCTCACATTCAGGCATTCAAGGCTTGAAAGGAACGGCTTAGGGAGCCTGACAGAGGCCCGGAGCTCCTCCTACTCTTAAGGAGGCTCGGATATGGAGCCCTAGCTCGCGCACGGAACCAATGGCTAGGCTTAGGGGCAGCTGTTAGCATCCGGCTCAGCCACGGGCCTTTTTGTTCGGTCCTTTTTCCTTCTTTTTTTCCTTTTTTTTTTTTTGAGCGCAGTTGTATTAGTTCTCACCGATCCTACTTCCCAACTCCCCATCTGTGCCTTCGCCTAGGTTCAGAAATCAGTTCATTTGTCAGGTTCCCTATCTTTGAGTTCTAGTCATGACGGGGACCGGGGTGGGGAAGAATCCAGATAATTTAATGTGGGGCTTTTGAAACTTAACCTCCCCCCCCCCCTCGCGCACGCACACACACACACACACACACACACACGCGGTGCAAGAAAGACGCACGCCCACTTCAATTGGGGGAGATGTTAATCAGAAATTTACAGCCCTCCCTCTCCAGCACCAGCTAGCCAAACTGGTAGGTATGACTCTTGCACCAGGCAACGTTTTCAAATTGCAAGACAGAAATCCAATCAACCGAATCATTTTCTTAGGAATATATTTATATCTCGCACGGTAATGGAGAAATAATAGCAACATTAAAAAAATTCAGGAATGTTGAGCAGTACCATCTGGCTGCAGTCACAACACACAGGAAGGAGATAAATCGACACGCAGCAAGGTTTGTATTAAAGTGTAAGTTTCAGTCCTCATTAGGACTTGGGAAGCTGGTTTAAAGGAGGCTGCCCTGCAGCCCCATCAGCTTTTGCAATCCTGGAGCGGGACTTCAAGAGCTACCTTAACTGGGGCGCAACGCAGCCTTTGGCCACCAGAGGCACCGGGCGTCTGCGGCCTGTCAAAAACTGGCGCTTTTTTACTCCCCTTTCCGTGGAGAGACTATCAACTCCATCTGTCACAAAAATTAAGGCTAAATCTCCTCTCCAGAAGCGGAGGGAGCCGGGGCTCCAGCGAGCTCAAAGTTGGGCTGCGCCACTCTTCAGAGTCCAAGTGAATGTGAAATGGCAAAAGTCAGAGTCACAGCCACAGCCCGCTTACATATCGGATTGCAGAAAAGCGTCCTGCACACGCGGAGACTGCAGTAACCCCTAGAGGCGCTGGGTCTACCTTGGAAATCTGGACCTCGGCAAGTCCGCAAACAAACAAAAAACCTTCAAAGAGTCAGGTTGAGCTAAGACAGATCATCTTCCTCTGTCTTGAATAGTAGAAAAGACACAATATAAAACTATACTTAAAAAATAATAGGAAGACTGTAACTGCGTGATACATCAAAACAACCACATCCCTGGCTGTTTTTTTTTTTTTTTCTTTTTTCTTTTTGTGGTCGCTCGCGCGCGCGTGCGTGCGTGCGTGCGTGTGTGTGTTTTTTGCGGGCGGGGGGGGGGGGTATTTGGACTTGTCGTCTTAGTCCTTCCCTCTCAAACAGGCTAAAAGAGCTTGGAAAACTCATCCCTTCTCTGTGACTTGGATCTCTCATGTATAAGGTTCAAGGGTAGATTAGACACTTAAGATCCCTTCCATCAGTAATGATCTGTGATCTTAAGGAGCAAGTTTAAGTTTCAGTCGCTTCTTTAAGTTACTGATTTAGGTCGTTGAGTTCCTTTAGAGTAGTCTCAAAACAGCCTGGAGGCCTTGTTTAAAATTCAGATTGCTGGCTTTGGGAGTTTCTGATTGGTAAAACTGGGCCCCCTGAGAATCTGCATTCTTAACAAGTTCTCAGGATACTGCTGCTGCTTGTCTGAGACCATACTTTGAGAACCTCTACGCTAAAGTTTTTAGATTGATTGATTGATTGTAAAATTAGCTACACTGTGGCCTTGATGGAACTCTCAGGGGAATGGGCAGCCCAAGAGCTCTGCATGCTCTAGGGACACCACCATGCATTTGTATAGCATTGGCATTGCACAGTTGAAGGGCTATCATCTCCCTTTTTGTTGGATTCTTTCCATCCATTCAAAATAGATGATACTTTCTCCTATTTTATACACAAGAACAAAGAACTTTTCTAGACCATAAGTTCCTATACAAGAGTATGCCATTTCTATGAAAACTGTTTTGCTTTTTTTCCACTCTCTCTTCCAGTTCTCCTCTTGATTCACTCTTCTCAATTAATCCTCCATTTCACTTCTCAAAGTCATCAATGATGGAAATATTGCTTTGAATGGTCACTTCTCAGTTGTTATCTTGATTTTACAGCAGAAAAAAAAAATGGCTTTCAGGACTAAATACTTTTCTGTTCCGTATTTTACTCCCAGGCAGCTCTTCTCTCTCTAAATTTTCTCCTTAGGTGATCCCTTAGGTGATATTATCCAGTATCTTGGTTTTAACTACATCAACTAATTTGACATTTTCAACCTCAGTCTCTGGTCTCTATTTTTATATATTCATTTACTGGTTCAAAGAATATTTTACACTTAGCTTATTTGCTGATCTTTCTGTGATAGATAGTCTCCAACATTGGTCTCCATCAGTGTTCTCTCTCCATATCAGTGCAACTCAGATAAAGAGGCAGAGTCTTTTTTTTTTTTTTACTTAATTGTTTTACTTGTTCTTTTTGGATATACATAACAGTAGAATGTATTTTGACATATTATACATACATGGATTATAACTTATCCTAATTAGGTTACCATTCTTGTGGTTGTACATGATGGGGAATTTCACTGGGTATGTATTCATATATGAACATATGAAAGTTATGTCTGATTCATCCTACTCTCTTTCCTACTCTCATCCCCATTTCCTTTCCTTAATTACCCTTTTTCTAATCCAATGAAATTCTATTCTTCCCTCCCACTACTTATTGTGTGTTAGCATCCACATATTAGAGATGACATTTGGCCTTTGGATTTATGGGGATGGCTTATTGCAGTTCCATCCATTTACTAGTAAATGCTATAATTTCATTCTTCTTTCTGGCTGAGTAATATTCCATTGTGTATATGCACCACATTTTCTTTATCCATTCATCTGTTGACAAGCATCTAAGTTGGTTTCATAGCTTTGCTGTTGTGAAATGAGCCACTACTAAACATTGATGTGGTTGCATCACTGTAGTATGCTGATTTTAAGTCCTTTGGGTATATAACAAGGAGTGGGATAACTGGGTCAAATGATGGTTCCATTCCAAGTTTTCTGAGGCATCTTCATATTGCTTTTCAGAGTAGTTGCACCAGTCCCACCAGCAATGTATGATTATAACTTTTACCCCACATCCTTGTCAACATTTATTGTTATTTGTATTCTTGCTAGTTGCCATTCTGACTGGAGTGAGATGGAATCTCAGTGTAATTTTGATTTGCATTTCTCTCTTTGCAAGAGATGCTGAACATTTTTTCATATATTTGTTGATCATTCTTATTTTATCTTCTGTGAAGTGCCTGTTCAGTTCCTTTGCCCATTTATTGATTGGATTATTATTATTATTTTTTGTTTGGTGTTAAATTTTTTTGAGTTCTTTGTATATACTGGAGATTAATGCTGTATCTCAGGTGCAGGGGGCAAAGATTTTCTCCCATTCTCTAGGCTCTCTTTTTATATTCTTGATTGTTTCCTTTGCTGTGAAGAAGATTTTTAGTTTGATATACAGTTCCATTGATTCTTGATTTTACTTCTTGCGCTTAAGAGGAGTGTGGTTGAGGAATTACGTTCCTAAGATGGCATAATAGAGATTTGGGCCTACTTTTTCTTCTAGTAGGCACAGAGTCTTTGGTCTAATGCCTAGGTCCATGATCCACTCGAGTTGACTTTTGTGCAGGGTGAGAGATCAGGTCAAATTTCATTCTACTACATATGGATTTCCAGTTATCCTAGCACCATTTTGTGAAGAGGCTATCTTTTCTCCAATGTATGTTTTTAGCACCTTTGTCTAGTATGAGATAACTTTATATATGTTGGTTTGTTTCTGTGTCTTCTATTCTATTCCACTGGTTTTCATGTCTATTTTGGTGCCAAAACCATGCTGTTTTTGTTACTATAGCTCCTTAGTATAATTTAAAGTCTGATATTGGAAAGGTGGTAGAGTCTTAATTCTTCTCTTCTTCAATCTTGGGCAGGCCTTAGTGACTTTGACCAATAGAATATGGTGAAAATGACTGACATTTTATAGCTTTCAAGGCTAATCACATGAAACTTTACAGCTTCTACCTGGGCTCTTGCAATGCTTTCTCTGGAGAAGCTGTATGGTTTGGATGTCAGGTGTCCCCCAAAAGCTCACGTGTGAGACAATGCAAGAAGGTTCAGAAGAGAACCTTGTTGTAAGAGTCTTAACCCAATCAGTGCATTAATCCCTGATGGGATTAATTAAAGTGGTAGGGTGTGTCTGGAGGAGGTGGGAATTGGGGCATGGGCTAGAGGTATATATTTTGTATTTGGAGAGTGGAGTCTCTCTTTCTTTCTCTGCTTCTTTATCACCGTCTTGTGAGCTGCTTCCCTCTGCCACACTCTCTCACCATGATGTTCAACCTCACCTCAAG